GTAAAAAAAATACTTTCTGTTGAAACATTACAGGAAAATGTCATAGCTAATCATATTAATGTAGCTGTCTTTGACAGTGGCATCCACTATAGTCCACATTCCTCACATCCTTTAGTGATATGGCCATTGTTTGGACAGCAAAGACTAGAACACAGTGCCTTATTTATAATAAAGATTGAATGGACTACTTGATTATATTATGATGCTATGCTTCTGGCAACTATAAAATGACAACCGAAGTCCAGCCTTAAGGTGAACAATTCAGTCTGACATAAAAGAAATTATATTGATTTTTGCTTTATTCATCAGGAAAACAATAAAAAGTTTCAAGTGAACTATCTGAAACAAGAAATACATTTTTTAAAATTTTTAAAATTTTGTTATTTTTGTGTGAGTGTACCGTCAAATCAGATCTGACTGGTACAGGAGGAAATTGTCCCTCCTTCCCTGGCAGAGCATCTGGTGGATTTGAACCGTGCGCCTCTGGGATTGTAGTTGCAGCTCCTTACCACTAGGCCACCAGAGCTCCCCCAAGAAATACATTTTTTAACAAAATAACAAAAAAGTTAAATGGAAAGATGAATTTTGGAATTTAGATTTGATATCAATTCAATTCTGGGATCCGGCTCAGATTTCTTTTCATTTTATCTCCAGTTAGTTTGTTATCATAATAAAACATGGGGACCAAGTTGAATCAAGTGTAGTAAATTTATATTCCAGAAAACAAAACACAATAATTTTCAGATCTGACTATATTGTGTGAATGGGAATAGAAGCCATCTAAAGCCACCTTTAATTGCTTTTCTTCAGCTAAGAAGGTGGGTGGGGGGGGGTCACTTTACTCCGTTGTCCTTGACACCCCCATCCAATCCCAAGCCTCTTCATCTCAGCTAGGTTGGGGTAAAAGGTTATATTCCTCATGAGTGGAGAGGAATGAGGAGGCAACCTGAAAATCTCCACAAATATAACTAGAATGGCTCAAATCAGTCTTTATAAGAATCTAGATCATCTCTTTCTTAATTTGTAAAATTTATGATATCCCTTGGCTTATGTACCATGTTGACTTCCTCTCTAACAGTAGAAATACAGTTCCCAAACCTTCACTTTCCTGAATTGCTTAATAGAACATAAAGGAAAAAAACCCACACAGTGAATTAACACTTCACATCTAATTTACATTATTATTTTAGTAATAGGTTTTTAAAACAATGTATTCGACAAGTCTGGAAATCAAAAGTCAACTTTCCATTCATGAAAACATCTAGGTCAATCAAGGTCAATAACAGGGTATAAAGACTAGTGTTTAGGCTAGGGAAATAAGCAATGAATACGAATAGAAATTTTATTTTTTTTTAAAAAAAAAAAGAAAAAGAGTAAAGCGTGTTTTGAATGATTTCCACCATCGCTCAAATTTTAAAAATAAAAGGATTTAAGATGAGTGATCCGTGAGATGGGATCAGTGAAGATGAGATTGTGTAAGATCTGTCTTTAAAAAAGAAAAAAAATTGAGAGTGAAAATAAATTATTATGTGAAAGGCAAGCCCAACAGAATGTACATCAGCTGTCAGACTGCTTCATTCCTTCAGTGCAGTTGTTCATCTGAAAATAGCTGTCAAATGAGAAAGGATGACTACAAAAGGATTAGATACCATAGGCATTTCTCCACTCACTAGAACTGCTGCTTTGTTAGGACAGAGCAGCAAGCATTTAGAGGAAGCAAACGATAGACTATTAAATAGTGTTAGAAAGGACCTCAGCTACAGTAATCATAAAAAAATAATTTATATTGATACCATTTCCATGGATTTCCTTCATGATGGCTGATGCTTGCTCTTTCTTCTGCTTCACCATGGTGTTATGGGATAGCATGGTTTTCTGTTCTCTGTTAAAAATAAAGGGACATTATTCAAGTGAATAATGAACTCACTTGATGTATTTTGTAATCACCCTTTTGAGAGAGGGCAGCTTTATTCTTTAGCAAAAATGTATTGTTAGGCTCAAAAGAAAGACTTTCATATTCACTCCTTGTCGTGCACTCCTAATGACAGAGCTTGTTATTCACTTGCAGGCAATGCCACTGGTGGGTGCAGAACTGATACTTGGAGTTTCAGACCCAATCTGATCTGCATGTTTACATAAAGATCATCAAATGGTGAGAAGCAACGAAATAGCTGACTTCCTCCCCACCCACAGCTCTCCTTTATTACTTCCCAGATGTTGGCCTTCAAATGTACCAGCATCACAGTATGTCAGTTTTATTGTAAGAATAGAGAAAAGATACCAGAATAAACCAAGAATCCCTTGGTGGTAGCTTTTTAATATTGGCATTGACAGCTGGCCTTTGGAAAAAAAGAATTCCCATTTTCTGAGTCACAACCATGAACCTTCTTGGACAACTGACTAATAAAAACATTTTAGGAAACATTCTACTAACCTTACTGTTAGACCACACTTTTCAGCAGCCAGGAATCCCAATTTGTGTATGAAAGACTCCGGAGATGGAAAATGGATGGCACTTGGGCCTGATGCTTTTATCCTTGTGCCTGGGACGGCATGGTCTCCACCACTGATTCAAACTGGGGACTGAGCCTTTCTGAAAAGACTGGCATCCAGCTGACATCAACTGACTATATATAGCACCAAATACTTCAGCTACTCATATCTTCCTGGCAAAAGAAAGGACGAAAGATTAGGTTCTCCCTATTGTGTTTTCAGTTTGAAAGGTCGTTGAATGAAATGGCCACTTACTAAATAAACATATATGTTTTGACTGAGCATTGTCTGTTTGAAGAGTTAGTAGCTATGAGTTATTTAAGCACTATTAAAGATATAGGTGTAAGCTTTCTCCCACAATTAAATTGAAAAGGAAAGAGACACATAACACCAAGTAGAACAAATCGGTATTTAAGTAAGCACTACAAATGGTTAACCTAAAGCCTGGTGGTTTGACATTACTTAGCAACCAACAGAGGAAAGGTATGATGATGTTCCTCAGAAACGAAACCCAGGAGAACCCCACGTTGTTGCTGTTGTTGTTAGTTGCCTTCAAGTCAACTACTACTTATAGCCACCATCTGAATCTTACCCTATTCTGAGCCATCCTTACAGTCTCTACCATGATCAACCACATTGTTGCAGTCACTGTGTTAATCCATCTTGTGGAAGGTCTTCTCTTTTGCTGACCTCCTATTTTTCCAAGTATAATCCATTTTTCCAAGGACTGGTGCCTCCTGGCAACATGCTAAAACAATATGAGATGAAGTTTTATCATCCTTGCTTCCAAGGAGCATCCTGGGCTTCCTCCAAGTAAGACTTGTTTGTCCCTTTGATAGTCTTCTTTGTCAACACCTCAATCAAATCTTCCTTATTCATTGTCCAGCTTTCACATGCAAATGCTGCAACTGAAAAGACCATGGTTTGGGACAGGTTCTTGCTTTTCAGTACTCTAAAGAGATCCCTGACAGCAGATTTACCTGATACAGCATGTCTTGATTTGTTGACTACTGCTAGCACAGGTGTTGATTGTTGATTGAAGTAAAATGAAAGCTTTGACAACTTCACTCTTTTCTCCATCTAGTGTAATGTTGCCTGTTGGTTCCGTGGTGAGATTTTTGTTTTCTTGGTGTTGAGGTGTAATTTGTTTTGAAGGCTATAGTCTTTGATCTTCTTCAGTAATTGCTTAAAGGCAGCTATCTTCTTTCTGTGAGCAAGTTTGTATCTTCTGCATAAAGCAGCTTGTTAATAAGTAAGCGTTCTTCAAATCCTACTGTACATTTTTCTGTTGCCATGAGTTAGAGTTGAGCTAGTGGCAATATTTTTGGGTTTTGTTTTTATAAAAACAATTTTATTTGACATTAATTAAGATTTCTCTTAGTTAAAATGGGCATCATAGAAAAAAATTCAAGAAGATAAAAGTTATGTGGATAATGATGGAATACTATGTAGCACGTAGGAGTAATGATTTTGTAAATTACTACCTAACTTAAAAGGAACCGGAGAGGATTATGCTACGTGAACTAACTCAGTCCCACAAGGACAGATACTGTGTTGAGACCATTATTGTAGAATGAGCATGAGTATCCAAGGTGGGGGAGGGGAGTAGAGAGGTGAGGCTGGACTCGGATCACATAGTTTGATGGGTCGAAGGATGTGTGTGAAGGAAATAGAAAAGATCCAATGTGAAAACAATGTATATGAACTTTGTAAAATAAACCAGTATAAAATATTTTTTTAAAAGCAATATGGATAATAGATAAAAGCTCTAAATGGATTAGAGCTGAGTCTTAAGCAGGAGTGATAATTATTCAGGAAAAAAGTAGGCAGTGTTTGAATGGTAAAAGGAAATCATGTTGTTGTTTGCTATCAAATCAGAACTGATCCATGAACCAACCCATACCTGACCTTCTAGCAAGTTTTTAGAGGGAGTAGATCACATGAGAAGAGGAGCTTGCCCATCTTTCTATCACTGACCAGCTGGTGGATTCAAACCAGGGGCCTTTGAGATTGCCGCACAGCCACTAGAGCTCCCTGAAAGAGGAATCATAGCCATCTGAAATTAGGCATTTGTACCATGAACAAAAGTAAAATGTAGACTCATAAATACATCATTTTTTTTTAATTCTGCTGCCATTCTTATTTTTTGGAAGCAGTTCAAAAGAACTTGACTTGGTTCTGGTGCACCTTTAAAATGATATTCTTTAACATTTTTGAGAGGTTCTTAACAGCAGATTTTCCCAATGCAGCATGTCTTTACATGCATCATTCTAGTCGAAGAGTCTCAAGTTGAGCACCAGAAAGAATTGATTGACACTGAAAAATTTCAGGAAGTACTCTATGGACAGGAGCCAATGGTGATGAAGGAGGAAGTGGAAGCTGCATTGAAGACATTGGCAAAAAAATAAGGCCCCAGGAATCGATGGGATACAAATTGACTTGTTTTAATTAACAGATACAGCCTTGGATGCACTCACCACCAGTCTATGCCAGGAAATTTGGAGGACAGCTGTCTGGCCAACAGATTGCAAGAGGTCCATATTTCCTTCTGTTCCCAAGAAGGGTGATCCAACTGAATGTGGAAATTATCAAACAATATTATTGCCATCACATGGAAGCAAAATGCTGCTGAAGATCCTTCAAAACCAGCTGGAACAGTACATAGATAGGGAACTGCAAGAAGGTCAAGCAGGATTTGAAAGACGCCGTGGCACCAGGAATAATATCATAGCTGATGCCAGATGGATCCTGGTTGAAAGTAAGGAATACCAGATGAATGTCTATTTTTACTTTATTGACTATTAAAGGTGTTTGACTGTGTGGATCATAACAAGTTGTGGCTGACATTGAGAAGAATGGGAATCCCAGAGCACTTGACTGTGCTCATACGGAACCTATATCTGGAACAGGAGGCTATTGTATGAATGGAGCAAGGGAGCACTGCATGGTTTGGAAATGGGAAAGGAATGTGTCAGGAATGTATTCTATCTTCACACCTGTTCCATCTAAATGCTGAGCAAATTATCTGAGGAGCTGGACTCTATGAAGAGTAACGTGGCATCAGGATTGGAGAGAGACTCATCAATAACCTGTGTTATGCAGAGGACACAACCTTACTTGCTGCAAGTGAAAGGACTTGAAACACTTTTTGCAGAGGATCAAGGAATGCAGCCTTCAGTATGGCTTACATCTCAATATCAAGAAAATAAAGATTCTTACCACTGGACCAATTGACAGTGTCATGATGGATGGAGAAGAGATTGAAGCTGTCAACAGCTTCATCTTACTGGGAGCCACAATTAACACTCTTGGTTATTTGCACCCTTCGTGTGGTCAGGAAATAAGGAAATTCATTGCAATGGGAAAATATGTAGTTGCAGATCTTTCCAAATTATTAAGAGTAGTGATGTCAGTTTGAAGAATAAGGTGCATCTGATTTAGGCCATGGTCTTACCACTTAGTAGCTATACATCTGTGACCTGGACAATGAATAAGGATGACAGAAGAAGAATTGATGCCTTTGAGCTGTGGTGTTGGAGAAGAGCACTAAACATTCCATGGACGGCCAAGAAAACAAATAGATATATCTTGGAGATTGTGCAGCTGGAGTGCTCTTTGGAGGTGAGAATGGTGAGTCTTTGCTTCTCATACTTTGGACATATTTCTATGAGGTGCGATTTCTTGGAGAAGGACATGATGTTGAGAAGGATGGAGGGTCAGTGAAGGAGAGCAAGACCTTTAACCAAGTGGACTGACAGGGTGACTGCTGCAATGGGTACTTGTGTGTCAGAAAGTGTGAGGATGGCTCAGGATAGAACAGGGTTCAGATCTTTTGTTCATAGGGTCACTATGAACTGTATTTGACTTGATGTCACCTAACAACAACAACAACAACAAAAGCAACAACAACTGTATTTTGACCATTTCCTCTGTGGGGTATATGGTAGATAAGAGATTTGAAAGGTGGCCCATCTTGGCTTCTTTGTCAGAATTTGGTCTCATCCTTGGGTTCTTGTTTTTATGATTTTCCACTTTCTAGAACACATTTTCCCCTTCTATGTGACATTTCTTAAAATATCAATTTCTCACAAAATCTTTTCCTGATAAAATGTCACACCATGTCATTCTAATGATAACCTTGAGAAAATGGTAATTACAGAACTCTTAATTATACGAAATCTATACCTAGACCAAGCAGCTGCTGTCTGCATAGACCATGGTTTAAACTGCATGGTTTAAAATTAAGAATGATACATTGTCAGACTTGTACTCTGTGTCCATACTTACTCAACCTGTATTCTGAGTAAATAATTTGAGAATCTGGACTTTAGGAAGAAGATCATGATGTCAGGATTGAAGAAAGTCTCATCAACAATCTGTATTATGTAGATGACACAAGTTGGCTTGCTGAAAATGAGGAGAACCTGCAGCACTGCTGCAGAGAATCAATGACTGCAGCCTTCAATATGGATTATATTTCAACATAAAAAAAGACGTCTTCACCACTGGACCAATAGGCAACATCATCATAGATGAATAAAAGGTTAAACTTGTCAAGGATTTCATTCTTGGATCCACTATCTCTTGGTACCAGCAATTAGACGGTCAGAAGATGTAGATCATGGGGAAAATCTGCTGTCAGGGATGTCTTTTAAATCCTAAAAAGCAATGATGTCAGTTTAAAGACAAAGGTTTGGCTGATGCAAGTCATAGTTCTCATGTTTTTTAATTTTTGTTTATTAGTTAAGATTAAAGTCAAATGGGAGTGACGAAAGAACCTAAAAAAATGGAAATTTTAAAAAGATGGAAGCTTATTTCTCTTCTATTTAAACTTAGTCCAGTGGTAAATAGACCAGTTTGATGCCGACACCGACACAGTCATCAGGGGCTCAGACACATTCTAACTTTTGCTCTGTTATCACTAACATTGAGAATCCTAGGACCTCAGTCTGCCCCAGCTCCAGCTCGAGACAGCATACTCACATTCCAACCATCTGGAAAAGGAAAGGCATGAGAAAAGAATAGAATGAGAAAAAGAGGGAGAGTAAGGAATGAGAAAAAGAAG